GCATCTTTATACACAGAGTTCTTAATGGATATTGCATCTCTTACCATTACCTGTGCCTTTTAAGATTATTTTTATTAAAATTTTATAATATATACAATGTTTTACACATATTTGGCTAATCTTGTTTTTTTTTAATGTATTTGTACAACAGGAAGTTTCTGGGTTGTAAACTTCTAACATTCAGAAACTTCCTGTTGTTGTTGTTGTGTGCCGTTGAGTCGGCCTTGACTCATAGGAACCCCTCCTTGGGTTGCCAAGGCAGTATCTCTATGGAAGTAGATTGCCCAACCTTCCTTCTGAGGAGTGGCTAGTGGGTTTGAACCGCCAGCCTTCTGGTTAGCAGTCAAGTGCCTTAGGCACTATGCTACCAGAGCTCTCAGAAACCTCTTACTTGCCTATTAATATTAGGTAAATTTGCCAACACAATTGAACCAATATGAACTTAAATTCTTCATCACAAACCCCTTCACTTGCTTTGTGTGCAGCTTTTAAATCAGTGTAAAAGCTTTGAGTCTTTTCTTGCACTAAAGTAAAGCTAAATAAGAGCGATATCATATGCACCTGTTCCAACCTGGCCACACGTTCTTAAAGACAGAGTTAGGAACAAATCTCATTCATGCTCCAAAAACCCCCTTTATTTTAAGTGCTATTTTAAAAATCATTTCACTTTCTAAATGTATGTTACTGATTTATAGAATGCAATTGCTTGACTTTTGTATTTTGAATTTGTATACAGCTAACTTGCTATATTGTTGTTCTTAGGTGCTGTCCAGTCGATTCCACCTCATAGTGACACTACACACAACATAACAAAAGGCTGCCCAGTCTTGTGCCATCTTCAGTCTTTGCTATGTTTGAGCCCATTATTGCAGTCAATGTGTCATTCTCTCAATGTCCTTCTCCAGGGTCTTGTCCCTCCTGAAAACATGTCTAAAAGTATGTTATACAAAGTCTGGCCATCCTTGCTTCTAAGGAACATTTGGATTGTACATCTTCCAATACATTTGTTCATTCTTCTGGCAGTCCATTGTATATTTAATATTCTTCACCAACACCACAATTCAAATGCCTCAATTCTTCTTCAGTCCTCCTCATTTATTGTCCAGCTTTCACATGAATATGAGACTTTAGAAAATACCATGGCTTGGGTCAGGCATCCTCCAAGTGACATCTTCACTCCTTAACACTTTAAAGAGGTCTTTTACAGCAGATCTGCCCAGTGTAGTAGTACTTCATATGATTCTTTGCTGCTGCTTCCACAGGCATTGATGGTGGATCCAAATGACTTGACAGCTTCAATCTTTTCTCCATTTATCATAATGTTACTTACTGGTCCAGTTGTGAAGATTTTTGTTTTCTTTTTTGTTGACGTATAATCCACACTAAAAACTGTAGTCTTTGACTTTCATCCTTAAGGTGCTTCAAGTCTTCTTCACTTTCAGCAAGCAAGGTTGTATTATCTGCATATCTCAGGTTGTTAATGAGTCTTCTTCCAATCCTGATGCTGTGTTGTTCTTCATCTAGTTCAGCTTCTTGGATTATTTGCTCAGCATCCAGATTGAATAAGTATAGTGAAAGTATAAAATCCTGACACACAGCTTTGCTCATTTTAAACCATGCAGTATCCCTTGTTTTATTCATACAGCTGCTTCTTGGTCTATGTAAACATTCAGCATGAGCTCAACTAAGTGTTCTGGAATTCCCCTTCTTCACAATGTTACTCATAATTTATTATGATCCATACAGTCAAATAACTTTGCATAGTCAGTAAAATACAGATAAACATCTTCCAGCTATTCTCTGCTGTCAGCCAAGATCCATCTGACATGAACTATGATATCCTTCTTTCCATATCTCTTCTGAATCTGGCTTGAATTTTTGGTCATTCCTGGTTGATGTACAGCTGCAACCATTTTTTATTTGTCTTCAGGAAAATTTTACTTAGTTTAATATTAATGATATTGTTTGATAATTTCCACATTCCATTGGATCAACTTTCTTTGGAATGGGCACAGATACTGATCTTTTCCAGTCACTTGGTCAGGTAGCTGTCTTCCATATTTCTTGGCATAAAAAATGAGTGCTTCCAGCATTGCATCTGTTTGTTGAAACATCTCAATGAGTATTCCATCAATTCCTTTAGCCTTGTTTTTCAACAATGCCCTCAGTGCAGCTTGGACTTCTTCCTTCAGTACCATTTGTTCTTGATCATATGCTACTACAATAGGAATATGAACTAATTCTTTTTGGTACAGTAACTTTGTGTATTCCTTCCATCTTCTTTTGATGCTTCTTGCTCCATTCAATATTTAGCCCATAGAACCCTTCAATATTATAACTCTAGGCTTGAAATTTTTCTTTAGTTCTTTCAGATTGAGAAGTGCTGATCATGTTCTCCCTTTTGGTTATCTAAGTGCAGGTCTTTGTACATTCCATTGTAGTACTTTGTTTACTTGAGCAGCCTTTTGAAATCTTCTGTTCAGTTCTTCTGCTTCATCATTTCTTTCATTCCCTTTAGCTACTCTGCATTCAAGAGCAAGTTTCAGAATCTCTTCTGATAGCCATTTTTATCTTTTGTTGTAGTTGTTGTTGCTTTTCTGTTCTTTTTAATGTATGACCTTTTACTTTCTTCATGTTTGATGTCCCTCATGTTTTCCCATAACTCATCTGATATTCTGTTGTTAGTGTTCAAAGCATCAAATTTGTTCTTGAGATAGTCTCTAAAGTCACCTGAATTTAGTGCTCACGCTTGTACTTTGGCTCTATGGACTTGTTTTTAATTCTCTTCAGCTTCAGCTTGAACAACTTGCATATGAGCAATTGATGGTCTGTTTCACAGTTGGCCCCTGGCATTTCTGACTGATGATATTCAGCTTCTCCATATCTCTTTACAAAGATGTAGTCAATTTGATTGTATATTCCATCTGGTGAAATCCACATGTATAGTCACTGTTGTTGAAAAATGATATTTGTAATGAATAAATTGTTGGTCTTGTAAAACTCTATCATGTGATCCCCGGCATTGTTTCTATCACAGAGGTCATGTTTTCCAACTACCAGTCTTTTCTTTTGTTTCTAATATTTCCATTCCAGTTACCAGTAATTATCGGCATGTCTTGTTTGCATGTTTCATAATTTCAGACTGCAGAAGTTGGTAAAAAATCTTCAATTTCTTCATCTTTGGCATTAGTAGTTGGTGTGTAAATTTGAATAATAGTTATACTCACTGGTCTTTCTTATAAGTATATGGTTATTATCCTTTCACTGACAGCATTTACTTAAGGTTAGATCTTGAAATGTTCTTTTTGACAATGAATGTGACATCATTCCTCTTCAATTGTCATATCCAGCATGGTAGACCATATGATTGTCTGATTCAAACTGGCCAATACCAGTCCATTTCAGCTTACTATCAAAATTTTGCTGATATCACTAGGATATCAATCTTTATGCATTCTTTTTCATTTTTAAGAACATATGTTTCATATGTTCTATGTTCTGATTACTTAATGGATGTTTTTAGCTGTTTCTTCTCAATTTGCATCGTGGAACATCAGCAAATGAAGGTCCAGAAAGCTTCATCCATTTCGTTGAGGTTGACTCTACTTTGTGGCGGCAGCTCTTCCCCAAACATATGTGGAGCACCTTCCAACCTCAAGAGGCTTATCTTTTAGCACTATATCAGCCAGAGTTCCACTCCTATTCATAAGGTTTTCACAGGGAATATTTTTAGAGGTAGATCACCATGTCTTCCTTCCTAGTGTCATAGTCTGGAAGTTCTGCTAACCTCTGCTATTTGAGTTATTTGAATTAAATACTCTGCTGATATTTGAAATACTGTTGGTATAGCTTCCAGTATCATAGCAACACACTAGCCACTACAGTAGGACAAATTGACAGACATGTGATAGAAACTTACTATACTGTCATATTCTCATATTTTATCTATTCATTCTTTAGGATTTTCTATGTAGATAATCATATCACCTCTGAATAGTTATAGACTTGGTTCTTCTTTTATAATTCTTTTACCTTTCTTTTCTTTTCTTTTTTTTTTTTTTTTGGTCTTATTTCCCTAGATGAGAACTCTGGTACAGGACTGAACAGAAATGTTGACAGCAGGCACCCTTCTTGTCTCCAATCTCAATGAAATGCTTTTATTATTTAACAACTACATATGAAACTGGGTATATAAGTATTTTTATAGATAACCTTTGTAAAATTAAGGAAGTTTATCACTTTTTGCACATCTATTAAGATTATGGGTTACAAATGAGATTTGTTCTTAAGTATGTCTTTAAGTCGAATTTGTAGGTACATTGGAATAGGAGCTCTGGTAGTGTAGTGCCTAAGGCACTTGACTGCTAACCGGAAGCCTGGTGGTTCAAACCCACCAGCCACTCCTCGGAAGGAAGGTTGGGCAATCTACTTCCATAGTGATACCGCCTGGGAAACCCAAGGAGGGGTTGCCATGAGTTGGATCCAACAGAGGGCAGTGCGTTTTTTTTGTTTTGTTTTTTTTACTGCAAAAAAGGGTCAAAGGCCTGTCAATAGTTTAAAATCTGCATGTCAAGGTAATTGTGATGAAGAGTTTGTTGTGCGTAGTAGGGGTTGGTGCAATTGTTTCAAATTAAGGGCAAGTATGAGTTGTCTGTAAATTGGAGGTTCATAATCTGGGGATTTACTGTGCTATATTCTTTTTTTAATATGTGAATTATGTCAATTAATTTTTGAATCATAAATTAACTTGATATTTCTGAGATAACCCCAATTTTTTCCTTATACTACAAGCCTACTCAGCTCACAAATTCAGAATACAATTAAAATAATTTTTTTGTCATGTGAATGTAACACTTTTCTCACTAATTGTAAAAAGCATGCCATGTCCTTAAGAAACCCATAGAGTAGTATAGGTGGCCAAGCTGTATACACAAAAATAAAATATGATAAGGATATTTAAATTATGTTAGGAATGCATATTTATTTTATTCCATCCTTAGATATCACTGATGGAGTTTTGGCTGCAAAAACATTATGCCCAGATTCAAAGACTTTTCTGGGAGATCATTATGATACACATTCTCTGTTTGGCTGGTCACAAGCAAAATCTACCTATTAGTGAGTACTTTGTCAATCTTCTAGAAATATTTTGTTTTAAAATCTATAAATTATTATTAAAATATCCTTTAAGAAATAGGAAAAAAATCTTTTAGAAGTATATGTTATATTTTGTTATGTTATTTCTTAATTTTTCAAACAGTAGTATATAATCTTCTTCTTCTAAATTTCTTTATAGGTGGTTTATGTCCTTTGTTGTTGTTGCTGTGTGCCATCGAGTCTGACCCGACTCATAGCGACCCCTCCTTGGGTTTCCGAGGCAGTATCATTACAGAAGTAGATTGCCCCATCTTCCTTCCGAGGAGTGGCTGGTGGGTTTGAACCGCCAGCCTTCTGGTTAGCAGTCAAGTGCCTTAGGCACTATGCTACCAGAGCTCCTTTATTAAATATTGAATTTACAAGTGATTTTAACAACCGGTTGCAATATCACAAAAGCAGTGTAGAATAGGCTTAGTAGAGGCATAAAATCTTATGGAAGACAACTAAAACTAATATCTTGATTTAAAAAAAAACAGAATTTTGTGCCAATTTCATAAGGTAAGATGGAAATGTTTATAAATACTATAATTTTTAGAGGGTATGTGCACTAATAATGGTTTCATCTTACTTTGAATAAGTCACATCTCTATACCACCACCCATTAATTTAAGCCTGGAAAAATATGAATGTTTCAAATCCCCACCATTAGATTTTTAAATCAGAACTTGTATGTGACATTATGCTAAGTGCAATACAAAGACTAAACTCTTTCCTCCTGGAGTTAACAATTCCAGATTTTGAAACATCTTCTACTTGACTAATGCTATGGGGTAGAAGAGGGTTTGCTGTGTTACATTGTTTGTATCTTTTCCTCTGTGTGTCTATTAGGAGATTTTCCTAGCTTGCATTGTTTATGGAATCAAGTATGGAACACTGTGTTTCCATTTATTGCATCCTTGTCTGGCTAAAACAAGTTTTTATTTCAATTCCAGTTTAGTTTGGGTATTTCAATAAGTTATCATAAATTAAATATGGGCAAACGGTATATGACTCTGATAGAATAACCTTGTTTGATTTATAAAGTGAGTTCTCAGAAATACTGGTTGAGAGGAAGATCAAAATAAAACTGATTTTTTTGGTCATATACATATATTTTCCCAATTTCATGTCCTGGGGTACATGTTGGTCATATACAAATATATTCCAATTTCATGTCATTTTCTAGAGCTATGATTTCAGGGTACTTAATGAAATATTTTTGGTGAACATGGCAGAGAATTTCAGAGCTGAAGAAGAACATAAAAGTTTATCGTTCAGGGTCTCATCTGCCTACCACTGAAAAATTCTTAGGTTTTGATTTGACTGAAAACAAAATAAGTAGACTATATAATAAACTTGATAGACAAATTTCTGAATATATATTTTGAAAACATGGCTAATTAAGTATATCTGCCAACAAATTGCCTTTGTTTGAGTAAAAATGAAGTTATTTGAAAGTATGAAAGTAATAACACATGAATAAAATAGAATCATAAGTCACTGCTACAAACCAGAGAGAAGTTAACTGGCTTACAACTATTTTAGGTTTATTTTTATTTCAATGAGCCATACCAAACATGTATTAAAAGGACAGTTAATCAATTATTTAGATTTGAGGATCTACCATTTGTACTGATTCTACCCAAGAAACTGCTCATTGTATTTAACTTCATGAAAGAGTTTGTTGTTGTTACTGGGTGCCACTGATTCAATTCTGACTCAGCAATCCCATGTGATGGAGCAGAACTACCCCATATGGTGTTCTAGGCTGTGACATTTATGGAAGCAGGTCGCCAGATCTTTCTCCTGCAGAGCCACTGGGTGAGTTCGAACCGCCAACCTTTCTATTAGCAGTCAAGCACTTAACCATTTTACCACTTGTTGTTGTTGTTGTTGTGTGCCGTCGAGTCAAACCCAACTCATAGCGACCCCTCCTTGGGTTTCCGAGGCAGTATCACTACGGAAGTAGGATTGCC